TCAAAATTGCGTTTCCTCTTCCTTGACCGCTGATGATCAGCCCTGTAACTGTAGTCTTTCACCAGTAGTTTAGCTTTCTCTTCAAACATTTCAAAAGCTTCATCATTGCGAACTGAGCTTACAAATTCCTCTAAGCCTGCATAGAGGTTAGCACAAGTAGCCATTTCAATTTCAATTTTCTGAGGTGTCTTGTTCGTGGCATTTAACCGTTCCAGTATACAGTCCCAAAGCACACAGAGTAAGGCCAATTCAAAATCTTCCAATTTTGATGCTAAGCTGGCTGCTTCGCTTCTTGTAGTTGCTGTCTGGTCTTCATCCTCTGCTATTTGGATCAAAGCAGAACGTATTTCAGCAAAGCTGTCTTTCAAAGCATGCGTTGCATCATGCTGCGCTGACCACCTTGTTGTTGATAATGATTTGATGACATCTCCATGAATGGTTGACTTGAGTATACTCCACCGATGCGTTGAAGCAGAGAAAAAATTAAAGAGTGCTTGTAAAAGTCCAAAAAATGAAACTTCAGCGACACAACACTCCGCAGCACATGACCCAACAAGATTAAGAGAATGTGCTGAGCAGGGCACATATTCAGCAAGTGGGTTGATTTGCTTGATACGGGCTTGCAATCCATTATATTTACCCGACATGTTACTTGCATTGTCGTAGCTCTGGCCACGGCAATCCATAATAGAGAGATCATGTTCAAGCAGAGTATCCAGTACTACATTCATCATTGTTTCTCCATCATGGCCTGAAAGAGGAATGAATTTTATAAAGCGCTCTACAGGCTTACCACTGGAGTCGACAAAGCGAACAATGATGTCAATTGATCTGTATGTGAAATATCTGGTGTTGAATCTACACTTATTGCAAAGTATTTTGCAGTTTTCACAGCTGCTATGATGTTATTGAGGACCTTCTTAGTCATCAGTTCAATAAATTCATTGCATATAGTAGATGACATGTAAGATACAGTGCCTCTTCCTGCATTCCCAAGGCGTGACACATGATTTGCTAAGAATGGATCGAATTGTGCTAACAGTTCTATGATCCCTAGAAATTGCCATTGTTTTCCGAACCAAAAACCTCATTTTCTCCACGGAAAGCAAGTCCTCTTAGAGCTAAGAATTTTACAACAGCAACAACTCTTTCTAGAACTTTTCTCCAATAAGTGCGCTCTTTTCCAGTTTGATTTTCCAAATGAGAAACCAATAAGCCTTTTTTCTGTGCACGAAATACACTAGCTAAAATGCAGCTCCTGTGAGTGGTGCTGTTTTCATGTTCCTCGAAACGCTTGGAATTTTTCCAGTCATTGAACCCCTGTGTGAAGGTATCTTCTTTGGTAGAAAATAGCTTGCATGCTGAACAGTACACTTTTCCTGAGCTTTCAGAGTATACCATCCATGATCTTTTCACATTTTCTGGATTTGCAAGCTTCCTATAAAACATAGATGACTTTAAACAACGACGACTTCCATCATCATAAATCCTTGCTATTTCCTAAAGTCAATGTTCAGAGTTTGACTGAAGTTTTCTGCAATGAAAGCATTACGTAGAGAATCTGGGATTACATTTGACCATGAGGCAGGATCTTTTAAGACAAATCCTGTGGATGAAATGTCCGTTGAGACATTGAGAGGAGACACAAAAGAAGTAGATGCTGGCTGAGAAATAATGGAAGAGGGCTTCCTGTGTGATCTGACGTATCTGCAGATTCAACTGTACTGGTAGCATCAGAAACTGTTTTCGTGAGCATGTCTGTGATCTTTCTGCAGCTTCCTACATCTTTCTTTTTCTGTTCTTCTTCTTGAATTTTCTTCTTTCTTTTCTGTGACCCACTCGCATAAGAACGTCCAACATCACGTTCACGAGATGCCATAATGAGGATGTATCATTGTCTGTAATCATGCAAATACAAATTTTTCATTATCAATTATTATTAATTTTTTAATTATTATTAATTTTTTTTTTCTGTCAATTGGGGGGATATGGCCCTTGTAGCCCCCTTTCCTCTGGCTGCGCATCTAAAAATTCAAAACGTTACCAGAAAGGAGTCATATACAGAACTTTTACCATAGATTAGGTTAGTGATTTGGGCTACGAATATTTTACTAATTCATCCTCCTTGACCTCCAATTTACTTAAACAGAAATCATACTGAGTCCAAGAACAATGCACAATGGTATTTATATTACCATTTCATAACTAAACTAATCATTATGTTTTGCATGATATATGGCCTACCACCATAGATAAGGACATGAGAATTAAAGAATGCAGGGACAATTTTCAGTTTCACCCAACCAACGATTTTCTGATGTGGCTTATGTGTTTCTGGGGAAATATGTAGTAAATTAATTGATGTTCTACATCACTTTTGTCGCAACTTGAAAACTAAGCATTTGCGACAGAAGTGATGTAGAACATCAATCAATTGAGATCTGTTATTGAAATGATAAAGACTTCAAGACAGGACAAAGTGCTTTTAAAACCTACAAACGGAAGTCAGTTTGCGTTTTTAGGTTTTTCTTTACAGTATTTTTACCAAAAATGCGTCTTTACTGGTCCATGCGTCTTTACTGGTCCATGCGTCTTTACTGGTCCATGCGTCTTTACTGGTCCATGCGTCTTTACTGGTCCATGCGTCTTTACTGGTCCATGCGTCTTCACTGGTCAAGTAACACTATCAGGTACCTCCCTTAACATTTAGAGGCGAAAACAAACATTTATTCATACACATCAATGTCTATCAACAACACTTCAGTTAATTTGTCACAGTACAAGTCTAGATAACGTGTAATTACTACAGAAAATTGGAGAGGAATCTGCCATACTCAGCCATTAGCGGGAAAACAGCTGTTCTGATGTAAACAAAGGCGTGTTGAGGGTTGCCATCTATGGTTAGGTTTATTTATTTTTATTTTATTTTATTTCATTTTTATTTTTGTTTTGATTAAAATTTTTAAAAATCAATTTTACTCTCCAAACACTTGAATTTTTTAGGTAGGGACCCCTTTGCACTTGCACCTTTGTGTGCAGTCTTGGATGAGCCCCTGAAACCCCTTGGACCGGGGGGCCCCCCAAATGCGCAGGGCCCGAGGCAAATGCCTAGTTTGCCTATGCGGTAATCCAGCCCTGGGTACAGCCCATGTATGCACGGGGGCTCCGGACCAGCAAAATGTGAGCGTCATGAAGGTCTCTTCACAAAATTCAACTTCAGTAAAAAAAAATCAATGGGAACAAGTCAACCATGTCCAAAATGAAACAAGCTGGGAAGATATCCAAACAACATAAATCCAAAACCTTTGCTTAGAAAAAATAAACTCTGTGGTTCTTGAAATCTGCTCAAGGCACATTTCCAAAAAGAATGAGAAGATGGAAACTAGAAAATGGGGAGATGCTTCCTATACAGACGAAGGTGAAGAATCAAAGAGCTGCTGAGAGGGGCCAATATATATGAAATACAAATGCAGGCACTGGTCAATGAATAGCCAATATTAAACTTAAGCTGAAGAAATCTTAAGGGGACAAGAACTGCAGGAAGAACTAAAAGCCATAAAGAAAATTGAAAAAAAAAAAAAAATTCTTCTCTTATGCCAAATCTAGGGGAAAAAACAACATCCAGTATTTGGCCCCTGCTTAGGCGAAATGAGACATACACAGATAAAAGCCAAAAAAAAAAAAATAAGTGAGATGAAGGCTCAGTATGATTCAGTTGTCAGCGAGCCGCTACCCAGACTAGGGTCGACAATACAAATAAAATTCTTTGTCAATGAAACCCAAAATTTGGTTATCTCAAAAATCTCTGATATTATTCTAACACCAAGGGGAATTTGAAAAGTCAATAAATGACATGCCCAGCACTTTTGCCCCAGGCCCAGACTCATGGAACTCAATGTTCATCATGAATTGCAAGAAAGCCCCTGTCACGTGCCTTCAGCATTCTATGGAGAGGGAGCATGGACACAGGGGTCACCCACATCATTAAAAACAACAGACATAGCCCAATTCTACAAAGATGGCAGTATAACAATTGCAAAGAACTACAGACCGATAGCTAACATCCTATACCGTAAAATCTTCGAAACAGTTCTAAGAAGCAATATCGCCAGCCTCCTAGATACACATCAGTTACACGGCTAGGTCAGCATGGGTTTAGAAAAGGTCTCTCCTGCCTGTCCCAGCTACTGGACCACTATGACAAGGTCCTGGATGCTGAAGAAGTTAAACAAAATGCAAATGTAGTATACAAAGGCTTTGCAAACGCCTTTGACAAGTGTAACCAAAGTGTAATAATACATGAATTGGGTGATAAAGGAATAACAGGAAAAGTTGGCAGATGGATCTATAACTTCCTGACAAATGGAACACAAAGAGTAACAGTAAACAGAGTAAAGTCTGAGACAGCTACAGTGAAAAGCTCTGATCCACAAGGCACAGTACCCCGGGTCAGGTTCGAGTCCTGCTGTGGACGTAGAGGGGCCACCGCCTTCGAGGTATCTAGTTCCCCTAACAGTTTCTTCACCCCTCTACTTGATTGTGTTCAGTATGTCCAGCACTTGCTGGTGCACCCTATCACCTCGGTTTGCTGGGAGCCTCTCTGACTCCACTGTGAATGCCTCCCGGAATCTTGAGCTGATCTCCTCGCATACTTCCTGGTGTGTGTGTTTACACTCACCGAGTTGTGGTTGTAGGGGTCGAGTCACAGTTCTTGGTTCCGCCTCTTCACTGCTCCATGAGCAGTCACTCTTCCTGCTCCATGAGCTTTATCCTACCTCTTGTGTTTGTGTGTGTACTCACCTAGTTGTGGTTACAGGGGTCGAGTCATAGCTCCTGGCCCCGTGTGTGTGTATGTGTGTGTGTGTGTGTGTGTGTGTGTGTGTGTGTGTGTGTGTGTGTGTGCGTGAAGGAGAGGATGGGGCTGAATGAAGCAACATACCAGTGATACTGTTGGTGATACTGTTTTCGAATGTATATGTTTAATATAATAATAACTACACCTCTGACTGTTGCTGCTGCTTGTGGTGCTCCTGTGGTGATGCTACTGCTGCTGGCACTGCTGCTGTGGTGTAGCTACTGCTGTTGGCACTGCTGCTGTGGTGATGCTACTGCTGTTGGCACTGCTGCTGTGGTGTAGCTACTGCTGCTACTACTACCGCTGCTGCTACTACTGCTGCTGCTGCTACTACCGCTGCTGCTACTACTGCTGCTGCCTACACCGACCTCAAAGAGTACTTAGCCTCAACACAGCTGCTGCAACTCACGCCACGTATCACAGCTCAGATAATACTCTTGCCACCACATTGAATATTGCCACAATATCAAATATTTTGTATTTCGAAGTTTTAGTTAAATATTGCTACTGTAAATGTTATTTTTATTATTAAATATGTTAAATATGTTAAAGAAAAAAAAGCTAAGAGAAATATTGTTAGTCAGCTGAGAGTAAATATAAATATTTATTGTTTTACTTTATTGATAGAAACAACAATAATATTAGAGGAAAAGTTGAAGAAAATTGGAGATGATGATGATGATAATAATAATATTAATAATAATAATAATAATAATAATAATAATAAAAATAATAATAATAAAAAATAATAAAAATAATAATAATAAAAAAACATAGTTTATTTGGACATGATACATAGTTGTACAAGGAATTATAGTAGTTGGGTGTACATGACAAAAGCCTCTTGTATGCAGAGCATTATGTGCAGGTTAAAATTAACTTAAAATTAACTAAGCAATGATAGATTCAGTGGGGAAAAATTACCGTAAACAATTTACAATATGAGTACAATTGAGTATTTGAAACTATGAAATTTGAACATTTCGATTTTGAAGCATTATAGTTGTGAATTTGTTGGCATTACAATGTATAACAAACAAAATGATTAATTTACTGTATGTTGTCTTGAATTTAAAACTTTAAGTAATTGGGAGACTTTTTGGTAAAGTTAAATTATTGAGAGTTGATTATTTAGTCCTGGGTGAGTAAGTGGTTTTTTAGAAGAGCTTAAATTGATTTTTCAGACCTGGTTGTTTTAGTATTTCTGGTAATGAATTCCAAATTTTGGGGCCCTTTATGTGCATAAGTTTTTTACACAGGTGATATAGACACGGGTACATTAAAAAAAGATCTGTGTCTTGTGTTATGGTCGTGTGTCCTGTTAAGGTTGGTGAGAAGAAGTTTGAGTGGAGGGTTTATGTTTGTGTGTATTGTTCTGTGTATGAAACAGACACATAAATAAGTGTGGATGTTCTTTATGGTGAGAAAATTTTTAGACTTCTGAATACTGGTGGAGTATGTTTTTCGCAGCCTTTTGCTGGGTTATTAGTGGCCTTAGGTGATTTAATGTTGTTGATCCCCATGAACAAATTCCATATGTAAGATAAGGGTAGATGAGTGAGTGATTGTGGAACATAGTACCATATCTTTGATAGTATGCCTACTGTCTTAGAGATTTTCTTGGAAATTTGTTGTATATGTGTCTGGAATTAGATGCGACTGTGTTTAGTGTTATGTTAAGTGTAACATTTGCAGCTCTGGTTCCAAACTGAATGAAATAGGTTTTGTCAGTATTTAGGGTAAGTTTATTAGTCATCATCCAGGGAGATATTTTCTGCAATTCAGCATTGGCAGTGTTGGCGAGTATGACTGTGTTTGGTTGTAAAGAAGACATATGTTGTGTCATCTGCAAATAATGTGGTTTGAGTAGCTGTGATGCATTTGGTACGCATTAATGTAGAGAGAAAGAGGAGTGGCCCAAAGGGACGCTTCCCTGTGGGACTCCTACTGTGATTGGTTGTGTGGAAGAGTTTGCACTATTTGCGTACATGTATTTGGGTTCTGTTCTAAGTATGACTTTAGGTAGTTGAGGAAGTGGCCTCTTGTACCATAGTGTGTTAATTTAGTGTGCAGTAGTTCATGGTCGACTGTATCAAAAGCTTTACGTAAGTCAATGAAAATTCCCAGTGAGACTTCTTTCTTCTCGAGAGCGCCATATATTAGTTCCAGCATATGTATAATAACATCATTTGTGCATTTGTAACAGCCTGGTTGATCAGATCCTGGTACACAATGAGGCCTGGTCTCAGACCGAGCCGCGGTGGCGTTGACCCCCGAAACCTTCTCCAGGTAAACTCGAGGTAATGGTCAGTCACATAGATCACATTTCCTGCCCATTATGATGTTAGAACCGAACAACAACAAAACCTCTTAACCAAGTTTGCATAATTTTAGGCATTGAGATGCTGCCATGAAATTTATTTGTTTTATTAACACAACGTCCGTCTCCCACCAAGGCAGGGTGGCCCGAAAAAGAAAAACTTTCATCATCATTCACTCCGTCACTGTCTTGCCAGAAGTGCACGTACACTACAGTTATAAAACTGCAACATTGACACCCCTCCTTCAGAGTGCAGGCACTGTACTTCCCATCTCCAGGACTCAAGTCCGACCTGGCCGGTTTCCCTGAATCCTCATAAATGTTTCCGTGTTACACTCCAACAGCACGTCAAGTCCCTTAAAACCATTTGTCTCCATTCTCCTTGCTTATTAGATATTTGCATTTTAAAAAGTAGATGTACACGTGTACGTATTACAGTAGACACTGAATATATTTCCTCTTTAAATGGCTAGACCAAGAAAAGGCTGTGAATCTTGATAGTCGAGCACAAGAAGAAGATATAAAAGAAGAAGAAGAATTCATTGTTGTAACCCTGAAGGAATAATAACGGAATTTTATGCAAGATAAATAAAGAATAAACGTGTGGTTTCAAGTCCTCGAATCAAGAGCTTCTCACCAGTATCAAGGCACCTGCTTCTCACCAGTATCAAGGCACCTGCTTCTCACCAGTATCAAGGCACCTGCTTTCCACCAGTATCAAGGCACCTGCTTCTCACCAGTTCAAGGCACCTGCTTCTCAAACCCGTATCAAGGCACCTGCTTTCTCACCAGTATCAGGCACCTGCTTCTCACCAGTATCAAGGCACCTGCTTCTCACCAGTATCAAGGCACCTGCTTCTCACCAGTATCAAGGCACCTGCTTCTCACCAGTATCAAGGCACCTGCTTCTCACCAGTATCAAGGCACCTGTGCAAGTGTTTGCTCACTTTCTTGAAGCTCCAGCAACCTTGAACATTGTACTCACCAAATAAGTAAGAAAGTTTCTGAGTGATTATACATACACTGGTTCCCACAACCAGTCCACCGAAGTTACTCATTATGAATCACCAGCAGTAAGACTTGCCCATAAGTCTCACCCTGATTAGGATCCACCTACGACAGTCAGTTAACTCGCAGGTACCTACTTACTTCTAGGTGAACTGAAAGTAGATCTGTCCAGACATCTCAATCTGCCCAAGAAAGGAGATCTGCCTATACATCTCATTCTGCCCAAGATGTTACCCACACTAGTTTACCTGGTTACTGTTAGGTAAAATATAACGACAGGGATAAAGAGAGTTATACATGTTGCCTTCCGTAGAAAGCAAGACGCTGGACCTCTCTTGACGAGTATGACTGATTAGATACAGTGAAGTACAAAGGAATACAGTAGTTAAAGTGCAACATGCCAAAGCCCCTTGTATGCAGAGCATTATGGACAGGCTTAAAATTAACTTAAGATTAACTAAGCAATGAGAGATTCAGTGGTAAAAACATTATTGTAAACAGATAACAATTTAGCACAAATGAGTATTACAAAGACAGGTCATGTGGTCATTTACTGTGTTGCTGATCATTCAATAGAATGGAGTATTCTGTTAGGTAATGTAATTAAAAAATAAAGTTTGATTGGGTCCAGGTTAGACATTCATGAGATACAATAATGAGAAACATTTATGAGATACAATTTAAGAGATACAATTATTCAATATTTATTTAGTTGTGGGTGAGTAAGTGATTTTTTTAGAAGAGACTTGAATTTATAAACAGACATGTTTCTTTATATTCAAAAGGTAATGAATTCCAGATTTTAGGACCTTTTATGTGCATTGAGTTTTTGCATAGCGTGAGATGGACTCGAGGAACATCAAAGAGTGATCTGTGTCTTGTTTTTATGGGCATGTGTTCTGTTGAGGGTTTGGCAAGGAGATGTTTGAGGGGAGGGTTTATGTCACAGTAGTAGTAGGTGCAGTAATAAGTATGGATTTTTGTATTGTGAGTAGGTTTAGAGTTTTGAATATTGGTGGAGTGTGCTGTCTGTAGTGGGAATTTGTTTACATTCTGACTGCAGCCTTTTGTTGGGTAATTAATGGTCTGAGATGGTTTATTGTTGTTGAGTCCCATGCACAAATTCCATAGGTGAGATAGGGGTAAATAAGTGAGTGATATAGGGCCAGGAAGGCTGACTGTGGAACATAGTTACCGTACCCTTCGATAGTATGCCTACGGTCTTGGAATTTTTTTTTGGAAAATTTTTTGTATAGTGTTTGAAATTTGAGTCTATTATCAAGGTGGTTTCCTAAGAATTTTCCCCCCTGCGAGCTTTGTGATAGGTGATCCGTTTTCATTATGTTAAGAGGGACGTCGTAGCTCTGTTACCAAACTGAATGAAGAAAGGTTTTGTCAAGTTTACAGTAAGTTTGTTAGTCCATCCAGGTAGATATTTTCTGTAATTTCGGTATTTACAGTATTGGCTAGCGTGACTGGGCTCGGGTGAGAGAAGGACGTAGTAGTGTCATCTGCAAATAGTGTGGGTTTGAGTAGTTGCGATGCTTTTGGTAGGTCATTTATGTATATGAGAAAAGAGAAGAGGGCCTAGGACACTTCCCTGTGGGACACCAAACTGAAATTTGGGCTGAGCTGAAGAGTTTGCCCTGTTTGTGTACACTATTGGCTTCTGTTGCTGAGGTAAGACTTAAAGGAAGTTGAGGGAGTGCCCTCTTATACCTAGTACGACAATTTATATGGAGCAAGTCATGGTAAACTGTATCAAAAGCTTTACGTAAGTAAAATGAAGATCCCCAGTGGGAACTTCTTTTTTCTCTATTGCAGTGTATATGTGTTCAAAGCATGTGTATGATAGCATCATTAGTGTTTTTTTTGGGCCTGAACCCAAACTGCCCGGGGGTTTTAGAAATGTTGTGGGAGATGAGGTAGGAATAGATTCGCTTATAATTAATTTTTCGAAGATTTTGGGTGTAAGTTGGTTTATTGGCCTATAGTTATTCAAGTCTGTTTGGTTCCTCCTTTATGGATCGGGGTGAC